AGGAAATGCAGCTTATTTTCATTAATTATTTGATAGACTGGTAAAAAAATTATTCCACTCCATTTCCATCTAGCTTTATTTATTAACTAAAGAACTCTGGCACCTAATATTTCATTCTTGACCAGCCACTAACAGAATTTGGTATTAATTTACACTCGAGTATATAACAAGTTTTATTTAATTCAGTATACGGGTATCTATTCTTATATTACAGATTTTTCTGTCAAGATTAATAAAACTTTATACAAATATAGAGCACAAAGTTGAGCATATGTGCCCATTACTAAATAACAGTCATTCTCTTTAAAATCATCATTCATTCTTACTTTCATACTTGCCAAAAAAAGCAATGTTTCTCCAAACTCACCAAAAAAGAAAAAAATATAATAATAATAAATTAAAAAAAGAAGAGAGTTAATAAATAAAATTATCATAAATTAAAAAAAAATGTTGAACACTAATTACATCATTAACAATTAAAAAAAAAAGGTGAATTATGTCTTTTAACATACATCTAAAACTAGTGAAAACCTTTTATTACTTTGTATATGTATCTTAACTAAATTTACATACTGCTTATTTTACTATTATTGTTATGATCATAAGTCTCATTAGTCTATCCATAGATAGTGGATAAGGCAGCCATAATGTTAATAAAAAAAGGAGCAAAATAAAATAGTATAAATTTTTAACTGTTATTGAAAAGAAAATTAATTATTAATTTTATACTACAATGGAATTATGTTGTATTTACTAGAGTTTTTTAAAATAATTTTTTTTTGTTATTCAAGCTTATCAAGATTTATTTAGTTTTGTAGTATTAAAAATATAGAATTATAGGTCCATTTTTGTTCTTTTAGTAATACTTAATTCATCATGTTATTTTATTTTGTTAAAATCTTAGTTCATTTTATTTTGGTAACATCTCATATAACTGCCACAAAATAAAATGTTACTTTTACTAAACACATATTGCACTATACCGATGATACAGATATTTAAAACTTATTTTTGTTATTATTTATTTATTTTTAGATAGCTTTTAGTGATTTATTGGTTAGTTAATATTTTTAGTAATAAAACATTAACCACATTTGTGATTTTTTAGCTTGAGATATTAATATTGTGATTTACTTTAAAGTCTATTTACACTTCACAAATTAGTTGTAATTTTTATTTATAAAATGAATATGTTTCATCCCTTTGTACTAACAGTTATAATTGTTATGTTGCAAATGTAATAATTCCAGCGAGACAATTTTTTTAATTCTTGAAAAGTTTAAAATAAATAAATGATGTATGATACATATACTAATTTTTCTGTCTAGCCGTTACAGATACATTGTAACATCAGTTATTTATAGTAATTTGGGCAATCAAATATATATTATGTAAATATATTTGATTGCCAAAATCACTATTAAGAATAGCAAGATAGAAAAATTGGTATTAACATATCGTTAATCAAATATATTTAAATAACATTTGTATAAATCAACTTTACTTTGATTATTATTTTATCATTGCATCTGAACATATACAAATAAAAATTAACAATAAAATAAAAAAAAGTTTCTATAATTGACTTTTCTTTTAATGGACAAGGATAATTCAATTTGTTGAACATTAATAGAAGATGTGAAATAAGTCAATTTAATATACGTTATTATTATTACTTTTTTAACAAACCAAATAAATTATTTAAAGAAATTTATAATCAAAATATAGGTAGAACAAATGTTATTAGCCAGAATTAGAAGCATACAACACAATAGAAATTATTTGGACTGTTTTTGTTCCTTTATAAGAAATAATTATGTTGGGATTTCATACAATGGTTAACTGCATTCTGTCAGTATTGAGATTTATTTATTTATTATGTATGTATGCATTAATTTATTGTAATGTGATGGGCATATCAAGAGTGATATTAAACAAATACTATTTTCATCACTTTATATAATCTTTTAAACAGGTTAATAATATCAGAAATCTCATAAGGTATTATGTTTTTCTTGATTGAACAATAGTTTAAGAGTTCTCATCCATGATCCAGGCCTGAGATCCTAATTTAGGACACACGGTTAAGACATTATTGGCTTCATTGTTGTTCATTGTTGTTGCTTATTCATTATTTTTCATTTTTGAGGTGTATTATTTAAGAAATTAAACTAATAATGTGAATTTAATAGGTAGTGATTTACTTCTTTAAAGATAAAATATTAATTTACATCGTTTGAGAAATAAATAAAATTTACAACATATCTAAATATTATTCAAACACTACTACTAAATCACAGCATTTTGTCATTATATACCATTTACTTTAAGTTCATGCATATTTTTAGTTAATCTAAAATTATATTGTATAACTTAGAATTTATTCCTCCTAGATATATTGTTGTTTTGGGTCTATTTCATGACTCAAAGAATATGAGAAACATTGTAATGTCAAGAACATCATTTGTAATTGTTAATTCAAATATTTTACTCAATAAAAAAGTTAAGTTTCAGACTGATTATTAATCATCCAAACAAAATTAAAAAATAAAGTGTTATGTTGAATTAAAGTTTAATTTATCTATGGATAGACACATATAGTTTTACATGAATAGATAACATTTATTTTACAAAAAAATAAATTATATGGCCATTTCTGGCTTGATATTTTCTGTACTTCTTAATTCTTATAAAATGCTACCTTATAATACAAAACGCAGCTAAGCTATTTAATTTTATGAGGATTTGGGCGATGCTACTGTGGCTTTTGGTGATGTAGCTGTTCCGGAACTATTTGATCCATTTCCAAGACTATTTTCAATTCCCTCATTATTTTGCACAACAGAATTGAAATATCTATCTGTAAAAATATACGAAAAATTCTTTTACTCAGATAACATACTGTATTGTGATTTAAGTATTAATTCTTCAAAAATGAAGTTAAAACTAAAAGTTGATACTCATATAATTAAGTATTAGGTTTTTTATTATTTTTGTTTTTTTTATAGCTTTCCTTGAGTCTATCTTTTTTTTTTATATGAGTTGACAAAAATTGGAAAATAATTGAACTATTTTTTTTTTAAAGTCCGCCTGCCCAATATTGAAGAATAATCACGTCAATAAGGAAAGTGTTGAAAAACAAAACAAAAAAAAAAAACCTAACTTTATAAACAACTAATACCCTTAAGTAATCTTTTATCATGCCTCAAATTACATGTCCCAATAAAGTTCTGTAAAAATACATACATAAATATATATATATATACACTGACAGGTAAAAATTCCACCCACTTGATTTTTTCATCTAAAATATTTCTGCTTTGGATTGGTTTATTGTTTTTAATGAATAAATAGATAATCTTTTTGTTTGTTTTCAATTAGGAATGTTAATATAGAGGATAATAACCCTTAATCCTTAATTCAATGAAATGATTCTAGATTCCAATGTTTACTTTCTATGGAATAAAAATGTTTATTCAGTATCATTAGTTGAGTGCCGTTTCTCGCAGCACATTTCTTAGTCTCCGGCTTTTAATTTTTTAAATATTAAGTTTAAAAATGCCTCCTAGTGCTAAGGATGTTGCGCGTGGTGTGGCACTTATTGATGATGGATGTTCCATTAGATATGCAGCTAATGCCATCGAAGTTTCATATGAAACTTTACGAGACTGGTTCTTACAATAGAAGGCCCGGTTCTGGACTGCCTAGGGTAACAGAACCACGGGATGACCGGTTTTTGACTTTGAGAATTTTACGAAACCGGCACCTTCGATTCATCAGCTCGAAGAAGTTCGAGGTGTGCAAATTTCTGAACGTACCACTCGGAAAAGATTAAATGAGTAAGGATTACTGGCTTTTCGTCCAGTAAGAGGACCAGAACTCACAAAGTAACACGGCTGGCTTTTGCTCGAGAACACAGCCATTGGACTATGGACGAATGGAGTGCTGTACTTTTTACAGATGAGTCGAGATTCGCTCTTCGATCTCCAGACGGGCGTGAAAGGGTGTGGAGAAGAAGAAACGAAAGATATGCAGCCTGTAATTTTTCCCAGAGCCAACCTTTCCAACGTGGTTCCTCAATGGTGTGGGCTGGGATTTCAATGGAGCGCCGCACAGAATTGGTTGTTGTTCGTGGAGGGTCTTTGTCGGCCATTCGCTATGTAGATGAGATTTTGGAACCTCATGTGTTGCCTATCCTCAACGAAATCGGCGATCGTTCTATTCTAATGCACGCCCACATGTCGCCCGCATAGTGCAGACGTTCCTTCAACAGAACAATATTGAGGTTTTAGCCTGGCCAGCACGTTCTCCAGATTTGAACCCTATTGAGCATTTATGGGATAACCTCGGAAGAAGAATAAGAGCGCGTGCAACACTTTCTGATACACTGCAGGACCTTGAAAGGGCTCTTCGGGAGGAATGGGCTATCCTCCAGCAAAGGGACGTTTCCCGACTGGTGGAAAGTATGCCGAGGCGTCTTCAAGAAGTAGTGAAGTCAAGAGGAGGAAACACGCGCTACTAAACGATGATGTAATTAATTTCTTTTAGAATAATAATGGTTCGTTTTTCAATTTTTTTTTCTCTAATCTTTCTTACCCAATCACATTTTGATTATTAAAGGTAAAAAAGATTATAAAATTCCATAAATACTAAGTATTATCTACAAATACCATGTATTATATACAAATACAACTTTTTTTACAAATGGCAGAAATATTTTTAGATGAAAACATGAAAAAATCAAGTGGGTGGAATTTTTTGCCTATCAGTGTATATATATATATATATGAGTGAATTGTAAACGGATAATTGTCCTTATATTTCTTTTAAAAACGCATGTTTATCTAATATCCAAGTACTTAAACTACCAAAAACAATAATATTATTCGTTTGTATTTCCTGAAAAAAAATCTTAGCCATGTCTATAAAAAAGTTTACTAATTTAAATTAAATTAATCTGTTTTAATGTAAATAAATAATTAACAAATAATAAATTTATCAATTGACAAAAATATAAATTAATAACAATAAGTGGCTACCTATATCCTATAGAGCCTAGAAATTTATGTTTATTTATGGAATAAAATACTTATTTTGATACAGTGAAATTTTCTATTAGAAATTTAAATTGTAAGAAATCTATAATTTTATAATTGCTAATTATTTTTTTTAGTGAAATGGAATATGCCTTATTGCTTTATATCCATGTTACTGACTTAAAACAGCAAAATACATTGCTAACCTTATATTAGACAATTTAAACTAAGCAGTTACCATCATCAATAAGTGCAGCAGTCTCATGGTTGGTGGGTGTGATGAGGGGTGTCATCATGTAGTCCTCCTCTAGACTGATGAAAGGGGGCCCTGGACCAGCAGGGGGAGCAGTTGGAGGTGTCCAGCGAGGAAGTGCACTTCGTGTCCCTCCTCGAGGAGAGTTTACTTGTAGAGGTCCCGGAAACAATGAGAGATTTGTCGGGCTCATCACACCAGACATTGGACTCAAGCTCGGGTAGCTGAATAGCTGAAACAAGACAATTATATTTTTGTAAATAAATTTATGTAAATTATTATAATATTTCTTAAAAAGTATTATAGTTTGTTTAAAGAAGGTATTTTATTCTAATTAGCCACTTCTTTGAATGTCTGGGTTTTAAGAGCATTTAAATTGGCAATTCGGCTAAAGATGAATACAATGTGCATCCCTCACCCATTTGAGCTAAGAAGTTTGTAATCACTCTACAGGACAGGAGCTAATCATTGAGATATAAAAGATTAATATTATATATAATGGCATCTAGATATTATGGTATCGAAAAAAATTTGGTAGACAGTTAAAAGTGTTCTATGATTGAAATGTCAATTCCATATTTTGTAAAGTTGGTCAAAATAAACATAAATAAAGCAAATTATAAAATGAAGTCTTTATCTTGTAGCCAATTATTGATAATTTGTGATTGCTTCCAGCTACATATCCCATCTGTCTAAACATCTTATCTTCATATCATGAGACATAGATTGATCAGTTTCTGTAAGCATTACTTTATTGGTTCTTCTCTGCCATATGTTACTTACTACCTTCATTCTACATCACTCTGAGTCTTTCAAATCTTTCGGTACTCCATTCTGAGATGCCAGTTTGTGTCCAGAGTGCAGCCATTTATATACAGATATAGCATTCCACATCCTTAATTTGAGATTTATATAGATTCATTACTCTTCAAAAAGAGAAGAAAGGTATTTTTTTTTCTATCCATGCTTGATATATTATATACTGATATATTTCTGACTGTTTGTAATTTATTGAAGTTATTGTGGAACGGAGGTATTTGAATCTGCCTATCCTTTGAATGATTTCTCTTTTATGTATTTATATCATTTGTTGTTGGAGTGGATTTTTTGGCTTACAGTCATATATTTTATTTTATCTTCATTTACTTGTAAGCTGAATTGCTCTGCTTCTCTTATCAGAGTTCTAGTGAATCTCTCTATCTCTTGATTGTTTCCCAGGACAGCAATATCATCTTCATTTCTTGGAATTTACAACTCATTTCCATGTGCACACATTACTATCTTCCCATAATGTTTTTATCACTTTCTCCAGTTATATTGAACACTATCAGAGAGAGTCCATCTCCCAGCTACAAACAATTTCGAACTTGGAAAGGATTAGTTACTTCTCCTAATATCAGAGTTAAACATTTATATCATTTGCATAAGCCTAAATCAATCTCACCAATTTCCTGGGAGCTCTATGCTCAGTCATGATCTTCCAAAGACAGTTTCTGTTCATGAAATCATAGGCTGCTTTGAAATTGACAAGTTTGGTGAGCATATCCTGAGGTACTTCACATTGTTTTTCAATAATCTGTTTTAGGATAAAAATCTGGTCTAGCGTGCACCTTCTTCCTCTGAATCCTTGGTAGTGACCTATTATATTTTTCCAATACAGATATATCATTTTTTTTGTAGAACATTTTTCATCATCTTGTAGGCAATGGTATGCCTCTGCGGTTACTGTACTTATATCTGGAGCCCTTCTTTAGGGTAAGGAAGATTAAGTCTGTGTTCCGAGCCTCTGGTATCCTTTCCTCCTCCCATATTTGCTGGATTAGCTACAATAACTTTATGATAATAACCCATTTTATGATATTACAAAAAAAAGGTATGAAACTTTTAAAACGGAATTTAATAAACATGAAAGCTATGATTACAAATATTTAGAATTAAGGACATTTTACTAGAAATTCTTTATTCCTGATTTGTATTTGTTGACTACTTGCCATATGGCCCTATTGGAATATTAATATTGGAATGAAACAGAGTCAGAAGGAAGATCTACAATTCTTGCTTGTAGGAAAGATCAAGAGAAAGTACCTAAATCTCCTGGGAGGACAGAATGATGGGTGTGTTGCAGAAGGATTTGATAAAAGCAGAAAACGAGATCTGGTGGAAGAGAAGTCCACCTGATCCAGACTTTATACTGGGTGTATTATTTCAACTGTACCACAGGCGGATCTACAGGGGGGAGGGAGGGCCTTTGGGGCTGAAGCCCCTCCCGAAATGGTAAAATGTAACTGTGTTTTATGGAAAAAAATATGTATTATTTTTCGTGTAATTACATTTAATAGGACTTCAAGAAACACTTAAACACCATTTTATACAGGTAGTTAGGATCTATATATATATATATATATATATATTTTTTTTTTTTAAAAGTAATTATCGTTTTTTACATGAAAAACAATCTTTCCGGCTGAATCCCCCACCAAAATTAAATCCTGGATCCGCTAGTGAACTGTACTACATTTACTCCACTTTTAGAAAAACTTTCTTGTTTAATAAACTTTAAGACCATATTAATTAATTTGAGGTTTACTGGAGAAAAGTTTGAGATTCACTTCAAGTTGTGTAAAGAAATGATTTGATTTTCTATCCAGTTACCTAAAAGTCTCATCTTTTCAGCAAAAATGACTACATTTATTTATTTATTTATTTATATATACATTACATCATGTCAAAAACATAAATTCCATGTTTGTGGTTTCAGTAACCTTATACATTACATACTAGTGGTATGAATGTTTAGTAGATTGAAACCCATTTTATACAGTAGGAAAAACCTCATAAAAAACCTACATAAGAAATGACTACAATTGACTACAGTTGCAAGGCTTTTATTTAATGTTTTTTTTTTCCTGTTATGGGATGTATTGTAATAAACATAATAGACAAAACACACATTTTATTTATAAAAAAAAATTTAAAATGATGATTTTTTAACATAAAGTGGTTATGAATTATGTTTTTCTCCCAGATCTGCGCCATAAAGATTGATAAGTATTTATGATTGATAAACTCAACTTTTCTTGCTAAAATTTACTTTTAAAATAAAGAAACCAACTGATTGCTTCTATTATCTTCATGAAAACGCACATATTAGGGCTGGAGAAATTAAGTTTGTCACTCATAAATTCGCACCGATTTTTATTGCAGAAATATGGTAGAAAAACACAATTTCATAACCACTTTACGTAGAAAATCATCATTTTGAAATCTTTTATTTTTATAAATAAAATGTGTTTTTAGGCAATTATTTTTACTGCAATACATCAATAAATTAAAGCTTTGCAATGGTTAATTGTAGTCATTTTTGCTGAAAACAAGGGTGTTTTTAGGTGACTGGATAGAAAATCATATCATTTCTTTATACAACTTGAAGTGAATCTCAAAATGTTCTCTAGTAAACCTCAAATTAATTAATACGGACTTAAAACTTTTTAAACAAGAAAGTTTTTCTAAAAGTGGGGTAAATGTAGTAAAGTTGAAAGGTGTTAGAAAAAATCAGAAATAATGTATGACTTTTTTTTTTAAAACGGAACTTAGCTGTGATTGTTTGTCCGCTCAATAGTCCTCTTTAAAGATTTTTAACAATGACAAACTCTAATGTGGTGTAAAGAAACTTTTATCTAGTTTACTATGGAACAATGTTGGATTACTTTAATAAAATATTTTTTAAGTTGTCGCTTACTATTCAAGAAACAAAATGTGACTCGCATAAAAAAACACAATTCTTAAATTAACTACTTTCCTCCTTGAAATTGGGCAATTATTTATTTGAACTTTTTTTGCAGGTCTTGATGCCTACTATCAACCATTTAAATATTTTCCTCTACTTACGGGGCACCCCGTATAATGAGAATATCTCACACTGCATAAGAGGTAGAAGAGGAATAATGACAGTTTACTTGAATTGAATTTAAGTTAAACAGAATGAAATGAATCCATGAAGTAATGATAAAATTAAGTAATAATGTGAGTTAGGATGCTTTTAGTTAGAAGGGATTGACAACTGTTCATCTTAAAAGGGACTACATTGAGGGTTCACAATACTAAACCAGAAAACAAATTATAACTAGAAAGCAATAGAGACGATAAGAAAGAAGTAACCACTAGTAATATTAAGTTTATTGAATAAATGATTTGAAAACGTTAATAAAAGTATTAATTGCATATGTTGCATAACTTGGATCTTACAGCCTTTGCCCCAAAGATGAAAAAAAAAAAAAAAAAAGGAATTCTTCTCTCAAATATTTTAAACTGTTCTTCTTAAAAGGTATATTCTAACAAATCATCTCAATAGGCCAATAATATGCATATTTTTACTATAATTTTTAAATAATCTTTTGTTTTCAGAATCTGTCAATCTTGACAGCAAAAATTATAGCTAATAAGAGGTGATATGCATGTATAATATTGAAATATCTTAAAATATTAAAATTAAATTGGGTAAAGTTTTTAATTCAAAACTACAATATAGTAAAAATAGAAGGAATTTTAAGACAGAACACATGAATTCAAAATAAATAACTTTCAAGTTATTTTTTTAATTTAATTTTTTTATTATATTCAGGTTATCGACAACAAACAAATTCAAAATAATTAATTAGGTCCATAGCTTCTCAATAATTATTTACTAACTGTTAAACTGGAATTTTTTAAAGTATAAAGATGCAGAGATCGGTGGTGTAATGGGTGATTTCAAATTTTAATTATTTATTAATGAATTAATTTTTCTTGTCAACTTGAACATAAAGTTCAAGTAAAGCTATGTGGTGTACTAGAAACTATTATTTAAACATTGGTTTCTAAATACCCTCCATTGAAATTTATTCATAGCTGATGCTGTATCTGGAAATTATGCCTGAACTTTTACTGTATATTGACAAAACATGCTCTTCACGAATGCATTTTTTACTTTTTTTATTTTGAATAATGCTAGGTGAATTGGCCTTAAACACTTCTGTTTTTGTAAATATCCTCAGGGTTATCTTAGACAAAGTTGGGAACCCTGGCTCTTTAATACATGGATACCATCCAGGATACAGAATTTATATTCTAAACAGCTTTGGGTCATGTATGAATAACATTGTAATTAAGAGCAGAAATAAATAACATTGTAATTAAAATCATTATTTTATTTTTAATATTTGAAAAATAATAAACACTTAAAAAAAGTTAAAC